GAGTAGTCTCAGTCCAATAGTCCATCCGAAAACCCATCGGATATAACACAGCTCCATCAACAAGCACATCATATGACTCTGCTGATGTTACCACCGCACGAACTCCAAACTGGGAGCTATCATGAGCATGGTCATGCCTCAACTGCACCGCTATGCTCTCTCTAGTCATAAAGTACAACCTATTGCTGGCGCCACCAAGGGATGTCTGGATCAGGAATGGGCAAGGTTCCAACTCTGACCTCCGAATACCCAAACTAACGCATGCAGCCTTGCCCAACATCAAGGGCTGTGCACCAGAACCCAGCAAAACTCTAGCTGGAACATACACATGTCCAATAGAAATCTCTAACCGAAATAGACCAGTTCGGTTGTCCACCATACATACTCCAGGGACAATATTCTTGCGATCAATGGCTGGACGAGCTGGTAAGGACTCCATCCTCGCCGTTGCCGCCTGCCAAGTCGTCTCTTCGAACAATGTAGACATTGAGGATGGGTCCTCAATCGTATCCTCACGTATCTTGGCACTCGTAGCAGCGATTCTCCCACGCTCACAAGACGTGGCTGCTACCCGAAATACTCGAGCCAAATCAATACCAGAGTCCATCAACTCCGTGGCTGAAAACAATGGAGATCGCAAGACTGAAGTGGCCATCCGCATCACTGCACTAGATGGCACGTCTGCGTCCACAACAGATGATGTAAGAACCTCAGTTCTCACTCTAGTGTCACTAGGCGGTGTAGATCTCATAGATGAACTACTAGCCACCTCCGACAATAAAAAGGACTGGGGAAGTCTAGACTGACGTCCACCCTCACCCTTCTGAGGATCCAACTCCACAGTCGCACCACGTGGCTCTTAAGTGCGAGCACCACCTCTGGTCACTGCAACTAATGCCTCAACCTGTGCTGCACTATCCAAATAGGGAAAAATCTTCTCCCTCGTAAGATGTGGAAGTGTTTGCCCCCCAGACAAGCCATAGCAGCAAGCCTCTGCTCCAACTGCTCAATCTGAGCAACCATAGCGTTCTCAGTGGCGGAAGTAGCACTTGCTGCGGTACGCTCAATGGCACCGGTACCTCTGCCACCTCGACCACCTCGGCCTCGTGAAGCATCACCACCACGACCTCTACCTCCTGATCTCAACTCACGATGAAGGTCAAAACAACGCTCTCAAGGGTGACCCGGTCGATGACAATGATCACAGGTTACCTGTGCTGGCTGTGGCCTAGCCTGTAGAGTTTGTCCCTCTCTCTCCTCGGGACAATCCTTCCTCACATGACTACCTCCGCATGTCCAACATGACGGTCCCTGTGGCTGGCCCGAAAATGAAGGCAATGATGGCCGCGCACTAGGCTCTCTTTGACCTGAAGGATGTCGTGTATGACCTCCACGACTCCCACTACCACCACCCATGGGGCGAGACTGTGCTGTGCTATGTGGGATACGCGAAGTAGTGGTTGTGTCCCTCGCAAATGTAGACGTCACCACCCTCTCCTCCACCATGTTAAGCTCAATCTTCTTAGAAAGAGCAAATACATGGGCTAATGTGGGTGATGAGTCGCTCATGAGAGTAGCATCACACACTCTCCTCCGCAACTCTCTGTCCAGAATCCGATACAAGTACTGGACAGCCTATGCCTCAGTCACACCGTGAGTAACCGAGATTAGCCGTCGCATACGAGTGTATGCCTCACGAAGACTCTCACCAGTCTTTTGCTCAAACTCCTGGAGACTCCTCAACTTCTCCGTCTTCATCCCCTGATAATTCTTCCTCAATCTCTGGAAGAACTCATGAATGGGGCTAAACGAAGGTACGCCACTAGCATCTTTCCTCGTGCTGCCACCATCAATGCTAACAGTACCGCTGCTGGTACTGGTACTAGTTGTGCCAACTGCTCACTGATACTCTTGCTAATGCTACTACTCGCACCTCCATTGATGTCGATACTCGCACCTCCACTAAGAGCCACCCCACCCCGTCCTTGGTCTCCGAACCCATAAGTAGTTCGGAGACCAAGGACGCCTCCATGCATCAATCTCCGCAACATAATCTCTCCCAAACTCATGATAATCGTCCATGGGAAGCCTCTCCAAATGCTGAAATAACCCCTTCCATGCAAAGAAGGGTGTAAACAACGTGGGGTTACGCAGAAACTGCATATCACACCACGTGTCGAACTCCTGAATAAAATCATCGAGCTCAATGGTGCCCACTGCACCAGAGTAACGTCGAGGGCCCTTCACTGCCCCGTACATGTTCCAAATCAATGGAGTTGGAACACTGGACGATATCACCACCAAAGACTCTGTGTATGCAACACTCTCGTTCTCCTCCGCAACTACTGGCGAAATAGGTAAAGGTAGCCGATACCTCAGCTCCCTCCGCGTAAATCCACCGCGGTACTCAGCAGGATCACTAGACTGCTCCGTGATGACAAAACCTCAATTGGCATCACTGCTAGATCTCCACCCAATAACTCTATGTGCACCTGACGTCGTGCCGCACTGAGCTACTCTAGCCCTACTAACTAAGAGGTATGGGCAACCTAACCTGTCATCACAGCAAGAAGACTTTCACGGTTTACAGATCATCACTCCAGTCTCGCCGTGAGAGAAACATAGATAGGCCGGCCGGTGATCAAGTCTAGCCCCCTATCGACAACACACAGGATTAAAACTACTTCGGAAATCAGCGTCACCACTACACGGGCGCTCACCACGAAGCAAGACTGAAGAGTATCCAAACACAAGCAAACAGCTAGCAACGACTCTCAAGTCTAAAGGAAACACAACACAAAACAAAACAACACACACGGGACATCGCATCGCTTTGCGATCCCGATTCGATCTCCATCGCCCGCCATCAACTTGGGCTTCATGCGCCTACGATGCCCTCTTCCACCAAATTGTAAACAAAAATTGTTTGAAAACTTCTTCTTCTTTTTTCTTTTTGTTTTTTTTTTCTCTCCTTCACATAGGGTTCACACTGCCCCTCAACAAACACACTACACACTGAAAGCTCAATATATTGACTACGTCATATATATATATACAATGCTTTCAAAACATCAAGTTTACAGGTAGTGAGACCAGGTGCAAACTCCCGATCCCTTCAGTACCTCCTGTCTAAACGCTACAAGTAGTTGCTATCAATCCTTTGGAAGACTATCAAGAAATTTCTCTAGTACAAGAATTTCTTCTGAAAGACAGTATTGAACATACTGAACATCTCTCAAATGGTCAGCAATATCCTTTGGAAGGTCTAGTAAATAATCCTCACGTATCTTGTACTCTAGGCCGGATTCCTCTAGGAGTTTTCTACGGCTAGTGCCTCGTCCCAATCTAACCCAGAATTTTTTTCTTCTACCACAACTGTGTTTACCGGATTCTCTTCTACTTGAGGCTGCACCGTCACCTCCTGCTCTTGATCGCGTCCCTCGCTGCTGACGACCTCCACTGTCTCGAGTTCTTGTTTATCACAGTCGTCGGCTTTTTCTCCAAGCGGCATTTTCCGTTCACACGTCAACACTTCACTGTGTACAAGGATTGTTTACATAGTATCTGTAAAGTAAATCTGAATTGAAAACTGAAAACTGTTAAACTATAAAACTATTAAAAGGGTTTAATAGTTTTAAAGAACTTTGCATAAATAAATTCACTTAAACTAATGAATTCTGAATTTTCTACTGCAAATTAAACACTGCTGTATTTAATCACTGAAAATTGATACGATATAATAGAAGGGAATTTTAGGCTCTAATAGCACACACAAAAGTATAAGGAATTTGATCTCCACTCACCTCTTCACTAACTACACTACCCTCTAATAGCTCTTTATAGGCACTCACATTGAATGCATTATAAGCTAATAATAACTCAGGCAAAGAGATGCTTTACCTCTGCAAACGTATCAAGAGATATATATATCAAGAGATTGCAAACCAATCTGCTTAACTAGCAAGGACCCACTTCGCAACCTTCTCTAACAGCCAACAATGATCACTAACCTCTTGTGGCCTGTCTGATAGAAAAAACCTCCTCAATCAGCAAAAATCCGAAACTATACTGGAACAAAGTGGCAGTCCAATTGCAACTAACATCCTATCAACCGCATCATTTCGTCCATATGCTTAAACCGAAGCGGCCAGTAAGCAAGTAATAAGACGGCTTGATCCCTCGTGTTTAACCACCATGGCTCTTCACCGTTTGTTTACCTTCAAACTCTTTATACAATACACGTACAACTCCAACTCAGCCTTGCGACATCATCCTCATCTTCGCACTGACTTACTACTAAATTTAACTTAGTATTATTACTGATACGGAAATCAGAGTCAAAGTGCGTGGCTGTGGCCGATACAAATAGTAGAGGACAGAAATCATCAAATGATGTGATGGAGTGCACGGGGTCCACTAGTCGACACCAACACCTGGCTCCACCCTTCAGTGCCAAACGCGGAAGGTTTTCATCAGCGAGCCGGAGGTGCATCACAATGCACTTTGACACTTGGCACTAACGTGGTGTCGTTTTCCACGTGCAGTCACTTTTGTTCCCACCTTTGTTCCCACATCACCTAAGCACTGCGCACTGTCCACTGAGTTTTGGTCGCTGATCACACCCTTCAAATGACCTCCATATTGTCCTCGACCTATTCTTCCCATTCATGAGCTCATCAGCTACTTAGTACTTTGTGGTTGCACATTCCTAACACCTTGTGCACTTTCCGTCCACGACTAGCCGTGCTTGAATCTATCCACTATCCAATGCCTGTCTAGAATCTGTAAAATTTGCCCATTGTGAGAGCACTTAATTTTATATTCATATCATGCAGGCACGTTGCTCGAGAGCTCTGATTTTGATCAGGAGCTAGCAAATCAAGAGTGTCGCATAGAACGAGACAAAGGGGACATCAAGCGAGATAAATTTAGAGATCTCAACCTTGAAAACTTCTGAATCCATTAAAGGAGATAGGTCCGTTCGCAATGGCGCCGAGGTACAGGTCGATATTTCCACGCATTCAGAAAACGTCACTCTTGAGACTGAATAGCGTGGAGAGACAGGTTTAGGTTCAAAGGTGAATATTATCAAAGATATCAAGGTTGCAAAAATAGCGTAACCCGAATTCACAGTAGACGTGGGGAGGTGTAAAACAACACGGGCAGCAACAATTGATTAAGTTGGGGTAGAGTAGGCTAGAAACAGAAATGAGATACAAGGTAATTTCAAACAAGAACTGTCTCGTAATTCTGCTAAATTCAGAGAATTTGAATATGTGATACTGACGTATTGTAGACCTGAACAAGAAGTTTGAGAAATAACGTAGGAAAAAATTGAGTGATATCTTCGGAAGGTTCGAGATCAATTCACAGTCAGGGTCAGCGGAGACAATAGTAGTACGAAGAAGAAGAGGTGATGACTCCGTGTGACTTGCACACCATACAAAGCAAAATTATTGCTTCCCCACGCACGCACACTTGAGCAAGATGCTCATCAAGCTCACGACGACGACAACCACTGCTCACAGTGAACAGTTTGGTCGAGGAATTGATCCCAGAAACTCCGCTTGTAATCAATTTGCACCAAATCTCAAGACATTTGGAAGGGCATGCTCAGGTCACGCTGTCCAAAACTTTGTCACGCCGGAGCCAGCGACTGCAAACTACAGCCTGACTTGAAGTTCTTGCTCTTACCCAAATCACACCTTTCGTTCCTCTTATCTTGTCGAGCCCCATCGTGTTGCTCGACACTATCTCCACATTCGAGAGCTTGTCCAGCAGCTCTTGGTTCATCCACAGCCTCACGCTCGTGACCACTCCTTGAATCGACTGCCTGCACCGTCGTCACAACCAGCTACAGCACCATTCGATAGTGACAGATTGCCTCAGTTACCACTCTAGCAACGAGGAAAGGGACCAAACACGACGACTGAACTTCAAATCTTTTTCAAGCTTTGTAAATCCGCGCTGCCTTTCAGCCCTGCAGGCAGCAAGCTCTTGACGACACCGAAACCTGTAAAACAAATCCTGAAGAATTCTGCTACTCAGAACCTCAGTGAGTTCTTCGAGTGAAATAAATGGAAGATTCCCCACTATAATTTCCGTCGGTCGTTTACCCTATTGGCAAAATTGTCACCGTCTCAAACATAGTCAAGCCAAACCCACTCCACACTCGGAGATTGCAGGTCGATGCTCCCGGGCACTACTCCCAACGCGCTAGGCTTGACTTGAAGAATTGACGTTCTTCGAGCCGTCCCCGACTGTATACCCCTCGTGACCCAAACCCTAAGCTCGACACTATTTTTAGCAAAACACCGAAAACTACATGACATGGTTAAATAAACAGTCACCCAACCCTGTATACGGTGGATGGGAACGATCCCACCTCCATCACTCCTACCCACACCCTTTTGTGATTTTTGTGTTTGATGAATGATCGGAATCATTCGAGCCTCACCCGAGTTTTGACCTCTCACGACGGGTGAAGCCGGGGTCATTACCAAGAATCGGCATCCCCTTCATGATATGGAGAATATCACATGTTTTGACATATTCGATGTCTCGAACAATCGAATGTCTGTAACAATCACAACTCCGACATGATGATCTCCATCAGCGAGTGAGCCATCTCAATATACATATATTTGTGAGATCGACCATGGAACAAAGCTTTTCCCTCCAAAAATTACAAATTTAATATAAATAAATTGATATTTATTTATTAATTTATTTATATATAGATTTAGATTTAGATTAAGATTAAGATTTGGATGGATGGATGGATATTTTTATATATATATATATATAGAATATTGTATATTAAATATTTTTGTGTTAAGAATAGATAAATGAATAAATATGAAATTTTAATATTTATCTCCATTTTTTGAGGAAAAATAAAAGGAAATTAAATAAAATAACAATTCATGTTTTCGGGTCATACGGGGCTCCGGAGGGACGACACGTGGCACGTTTCCGCCGTTTTAAAACCATAAGGGAAGCAATGGAGGGATTTTGATGCATATATATGGCAAGTGTGTGAGTGCATGTTGGAGGTGCCGGGGTGGGATCACCCTCGGGGTTGACACATTGTCACCCTACCACCACTACAAATATGTAGTGGTGGTTAAATAAACAGTCATTCAACCCAGTATACGGTGGATGGGAACGATCCCACCCCCATCACCCCTACCCCCACCCTTTTGTGATTTTTGTGTTTGATGAATGCTCGGAATCATTCGAGCCTCATCCGAGTTTCGACCTCTCACTATGGATGAAGCCGGGGTCATTCCCAAGAATCGGCATCCCCTTCACGATATGGAGAATATCACATGTTTTGACATATTCGATGTCTCAAACAATCGAATGTCTGTAACAATCACGATATGGAGAACATCACATGTTTTGACATATTCAATGTCTGCAACAATCACGACTCCGACATGATGATCTCCATCACCGAGTGAGCCATCTCGATATACATATATTTGTGAGATCAACCATGGAACAAAGTTTTTCCCCCAAAAAATTACAAATTTAATAGAAATAAAATGATATATATTTATATTTATGTAGATTTAGATTAAAGATTAAGATTAAATGACATATCATTAGTGATAGAATGATAAAACTTCCCCACAACAACATCAGTGAGTAAAGATTTCCCCTTGTTAGTATAGGAAGCCTTCACATTCTTCCCCTCTTTCAATTAGCCAGGCTCATTGAAAGAAACATCTCCACTAACAACCACCTTACTGGCAAGTGAATTCCATAGCATGTAAACTTTTACGCCGCTAGCATATCCAGGAAAACGACATTTCTTGGATGTAGGATCTAATTTTGTCTTGTATTCCTTAAGTATAAGAGGATAAGCAGTACAACAAAAAAATTTCAAACGACTATAATCTGTCATCCGTTTGTGTCTCAGTTCAAACGGTGTTGAGAAATTGATTGCACTAGAAGGAGAATGAATAAATTGCGGTGTTGACAACTTTGGTCCAAAATTCTTGTGGTAAACCTGATTCGCTTGGCATACTCCGCACCTTCTTCAACACTGTTTGATTGAGTTTTTCATGAACAACATCTTGTTGTGAAGTGTTAACTGTTGTGAAATGGCAAGTAATCTCCTCTTGTGTACAATACCTCTCAAATTTGTCACTGGTATACTCATCACCATTATCTGATTTCAAATATTTCACATTGTGTCTAGTCCAAGTCTCTACTTGTATGCGTCAAGTTTTGAAGGTGGAAAACACCTCAGACTTGTATGTAAGAAAATATACCCACACATATCTTGAGTAATCATCTATAAATGAGACATTGTACAACTATCTAGACAGTGAAGCAACAGGAGAGGGTCTCCACACGTCACTATGTATATACTCTAGTATCTCCTTGGAACTATGAGTTCCATCGCCAAAAGTTAACCTATGTTGTTTTTTTCGATGCAATATTCACAAAATGACAAGTCAACTTTATCCAACCGGGTAATACCTTTTTCTCATCAAGAAGAGACATGTATTGATCATTCATATGGCATAATCTGAAATGTCATACATGAGACATCTCAACGCAAGATTTTGTAAAGTGAACTTCGCCACAAAAAGTGATGATCTTTAGCAAGTACATATTATTATGCTTGTATCCCCGAAAAATAATCTTCTTATCACATGATCTTACATCTAACACGCCCTGCCTAGAATTCCATTCTAAGTTGTGTGAGTTCAACACTCCAAGAGAGATCAAGTTCTTTCGCATGTTAGTTATAAACCTAACATGCAAAATTTACTGTTGACACCGTCAAACATGAGGATCTTTACAGATCCAACATCCTCAATTTTACAGAGTTTGTCGTTTCCCATAAGAACTGAACTGTTTGATACGGAGAAAGTAGAAAAGAACTCTTTAATGTAACAAATGTGATAGGAACAAGCACTGTCCAGAATCCATACATCACCAACAACTTTTGGTGAATTGCAGAGGGCATACCTCTGGCATTATAGGCCGTTTGTGTAGTCATCGTTCGTCTCCGTATTAAGATGTTCAGCAACGTTTGCCACTGAAGGAGACGCTATACTTGTCATCCGGAAAAACTTCATGATGTGGCTTTTTTTACCACATCTCCAACAAAAAACATTCTTCTTGTCAATTTGTTGAGTCAGAAACTGTACTTTCCTTCGGTGAGGAGATCTTGATCTTTGCCTCTTCAATCTTGGACGCCGTGAATTGTTGGTATCTCTCGGTTGTGATTGACCTCGAGTCATAATAAGTGATGTTCCAGAAGTGGATGGGACAGAGAGGCACTTACAATTTTGTTGTAGGTAACCATTGTGTTCTGACAATGAAGAAGAATCTTCGATAGCGTCTGATAGGTAGACGACAATGAGTGGAGAAGATGCATTGTCTTCTTTGAGTTAGTAAGTTCCTCCTCCATATTCCTAAGATCCACCAATAGATTTCCATATGCGTGAATGTGGTCTTGAATGCGCTTGTTGGGCTTCACTGTAAATTGTAACAATCGCATGTATGTGTTCATCACAATTGTAGGATTCTTCTGATGGAACCGTTGCTGAAGCGCATCAAGCAACTTGGAAACTGCAGAGTACTCCTCAACCCGCTTGAGTATGGTAGGGTCTAGATATGCTAACACCGTGCAAACTGCTTGGTCTTGAGCAACACTCCATTCAATGTCATTTATGCTAGAAGGTTTGTCTCCCAAGCATATAGTGAGACCCATGGATCGTAATTTTACTTTTACTTGCTTTTTCCAAAGCAAATAATCACCTTGGCCATCAAAAGGTATGATGTTATATCATATATTGCCATCCACTTGTCAGCCTACAGACTCTGCATGTCAAAAATGAGAGACAATTGCAGCTTCCGAGTCAATTTCCTCCTTGTGAATCATCGTTCAGTTCATGAGAAGTGTAAAGATGCTTTAATCGTGTCGAGAGCTTCCCAACGATACTCAGTTTGACTAGTTTTTGATGAAAAAAATATTTTGAGGTAATATTGAGGACGGAATATTACTTCACCGTTATGGCTGACCGTCACAGTTTGGGATCTCCGTCATTGTCACTGTCACCATCGACTGCGTTGTAATGCTGACCACGACTTCAACCACGTTCAATCTGACCACGTGGACTATAATCACTGTGGTAACACACTTTTTGTTTTTTTGCAGAATTTAAACAATTTTAGAAAACTAGTACCGAAGCAGTGTTTGTAGTTAGAAAAGGGTACGTTAAATAGAGTGGATTGATGAGATCGTCACGAGGACACGAAGAATCACGTAGTCGGATGTACCAACGCCAATGTCTTCGGCACCTTCGGCAAAAGCTCCTTTTCTGAGGTGTCTCTACTCACGCGCTTCCAGCGTATAAGGAAGCTACGCTTCCGGCGCAGACACCTCAGGAGGAGGTTTTGCTAAAGACGTCAGGAGAAGGGCCCGGACCTCTGAAGGCGTCCGACCATGAGTGCGCCTTCGGCGATGCGCCGCTGGCACGGAAAGGGAAAACCTTCATAACGATCAGAATACACAGTAGATCCAGTTGGTTGAAGTCGCATTAGAAAGAGCTCGGGACGCTCGCTCTAACGAGCCCAAGAGCGTCGGAGATGGATCAGGGACGGAGAAGTTATGAGCGTCGGAAAACTCGTAGCCGGACATGCGCCGTTCGCGCTAGGATTCACAGCCGGAAAGGATTCCCGTACGCCCTCGGCGATGCGCCTTCGGCGGAATCACGCGCTCATAGGAGGAAACCAACTCAGAGTCGGAAGCGCCTTTGGCGGCTGTTCATGGAAGGAAAGCGCCGGTCGGATGTACGCCTCCGACGTGGCGCTGACGGCCGGATGCGCTGGCATGAGTTGCGCTGGCGGATATGCGCCGTCAGCAATGGACGAGGCATAAAGGACAAAATAAGCGGTACGACTGCGCGCCGGCGTAATTCGCTCCGACTAGATGTGCGCCTCCAGCAAGGCGCCGACGGATAAGGAACGCACCAGCGGCGACACGCCTCCGGTGAGGGACGGGTTAGGAAAAGACAACATGGCCGACGTATACCCTGCGGCGGACTCGAGTCAGGAAGGTGGCGGCGGCGGGAGAATTCAACATTCACGCATGCGAATGCGCGCAGTGCGGAGACGTGAATTCGCGCATGCAAAGGGCGAACCGTTAGGCCGTATAGCCGGCTGCGTACGTTGTAACCAGTAAGAA